GATTGCCATGGTGCTGACCACTCTAGTTTAAAATTTATGTTGATTGATCAAAGGCATCACACTCTTAGAGAATGTGAAAATTTCTGGATTGGTACCTTGTTAACCAACCAGGGGGGACTTAATGGTCATCACGACTTCGTGCAACAATAGTACCAATGCATTTGTATTTACCATCTTGTAATTAGAATTTCTAATTAGTTTACACATAGGATATATAAGAGACTTATTTGATTTAGTTTGTACTTAGTTTCTGACGAAGGCTGTTACATGCAGTCGATAATTTAAATTTTTGAATTATATATTCTAATTTCTTTTGGTCGTGGCTTTTATTTTGTTTATAATATATATATATATATATATATATATATATATATATATATATATATTGATGTCCCACAATCGTGAGGCATCAAAGGTAACTGTAAATAGCAGTTACTTTCATCCTGCTCATCAGCACTACACTGATGAGGCCCATAAGGCCGAAACGGTATTAAGTATTTTGTTATATAGCGACAAACAAAAATCAACTTCAACAACATTCATACAACAATTGTATTTCGTGACAAAAACTCTATAGTGTAAACGAGTTTAAAATTAAAAGAACCTACTTAAACGGCTTCAGCAGCATATCCTGTTGCCTGTTGTGTATTTTTCTTTTCTTTTATATTCTTTATTTGAACACAAACTTGGAAAATCGTAGTTTCTAATTATCCGGGAAACATTGCATTTATCTGAAGTCACGTGACCACAAATCAGCCAATCACGTTTGGTGTTCACGCTAGCTATATAACAAGCTGTTATATTCACCTACATGTGAATATAACCAAACAGAGATTTTCAAAATGGCGGCTCCCCGTTTTGTGGAAGTTTACTGACATGGAAATAAGCAAAATTAAAATAAATTCAGTTTTGGCGAATATTCCCCGATAATACCACAATTATCGACCTGGCGGCGCCATTGCATCCGGACCCGACGCTGCCGGTAAATAACGTGTTTATTTTTTATCAGATGTAAAAATTAAATTCATTAAAATACGAACACGAAAACTTGAGAAAACTGGCTAGAAATACACAAATAGACGTATAGTTTCAGTAAAATTGACGAGCTTTTTTCATAATATGATGGCATTAGGAAAACTTTGGAATAAAGAGCTTTAAACCTCGCGTTTTGGCTTTGACAAATTCAGTCCTGTTCAGATCCGACTCAAAAACGCATAAAAATGAATCTGTTCTCATTTAATCGACGTTGTTGGGAACTGACCAAACAGATAAGATATATCGTATAACACTTTAGGTAGGGATAGTTAATTAGGGAGATTATATAGTGATAGTAGGTATTAGAGAGTGTCATCGTGACAGTGAGAGAGAACGGATTTGAGACAGCTGCGACGAGCATACAATGTGAATTTTGGTATTCATATATTTTCTATTAAAACTTATATATAAATGTGATTTGTCGAGGACTACTGTTTTGGAGGCAACATTCTCGACACGTGACACCTCCTAAAGGGAAAGCTGAAACGCCAGTTAACTTATCTTAAGTACGAATCAACGACAAAATGTGGCATGGAGAAGCTTGAGACGAAGCTGAAACAGTTGAACTTGGGAGTCCTTCGAACGAAGAATATCTTGGACTCAGGTAAGAGATAATCAATCAAGCGGCATCTCGATGCGCTGCGTGAGACTGTTCGGGAATCAAACGAACTTAAACGAGCTGCTGAAGCGGCAAAAATCGATCTAGGCGAAAGCGTCAAGAAAATTAATGATTGGAACAATGAGACTGACGCTAAGATTGAACCGGCGGACGTTGAAATTGATCAGTTAGCTCATCTCACCACTCTTCACGGCGGAGTTGCCATGACTATGGCAAAGATCAGGGATCATTATTGGATCCCAAAGCTACAACAGCTTGTTAAACGTGTGCGGAGCGATTGTTGGGGTTGCAAACGACAGTGGCGTAGCCAGAACGATAATTGGGGGAGGGGGGTGTTGTATCCTGTACTTAATTCATTCCAGGCTTAACCTTTTACACGCACACCCATATCATATATCCTAATTGCCTGTCAATGCTTGTATATATATTTACTTAATTCTATCAATAAATTAGTCTTTGATTACAACTAGTGCGAGTAGCATATATGCTAGAGGTCTCTATAACCCAAACAAGCAAGATACAAAAGTGGCGACGAGGATAACTAACAAACATGAGTGATGATGAAAGTGCTACATCTTCAGGGAAAGACCAACCGGCATCAAAACAACCAAACCCTACAACACAAAGTTTTAACGCTCCTAAAAGTGGTCTACCCCCTTTTCCCCCATTTGACCCAATCACAGATTCAGCAACAGTGTCTCAACGATGGAAGAAATGGATACGGCGTTTTGAAAACCTACTCATCAGCCTTCGAGAGTTCGACTCGACCATCCGGCGAGGTCTTCTCTTGACATACGTTGGCGAAGCAACAAACGATATCTTCGACATTCTGCCAGACACCGGTACAACGTATGAATCAGCCGTCGACAGTTTAACGCAGTATTTCACTCCGCGTGGAAACAAAGATGTAGCTATATTCGAATTTCGCGAGTTGACACAAGAAACTAACGAGACTCTAACTGCGTATTATCGAAGACTCAAAACCAAGGCAACAGACTGTGAATTCGCGAACGAAGACGAAGAGATTAAAATACAAATCATCCACAAGACACGAGACCCAAGATTGCGAAAGAAAGCCCTTCGTGAAAGCATGGACTTAAAAGCCTTATTAGCGCACGGAACTTCGCTAGAAATTACGGATCAACAAGCGCAACGACTAGAAAACGCAAACACAGACCTAAACGCATTGGAAAGAAACCGCCAGCCACCAGCATCGCAACCACGGGGTGCATTCAATCGCAGACGAAAACCACCACCGGACGGGAAGAAAACCTGCCGAAACTGCGGTGGAGCATTTCCACACAAAGACGGAATGCAGAATTGCCCTGCTCGAGGAAAATCCTGCCATAATTGCGGAAAACTCGGACATTTCGCAAAATTATGCAAATCGAGCAGTAAATCGGTAAAACATATTACCCCACTCAAGACACCCGATGACAGACACTTACAAGACTCGGACGATGATAATTGTTTTACCTTAAAGTCAACGCCAAATAAGTCACCTGAGACTCAGATCAAAATTGGACACACTCCAGTGAAAGTACTAATCGATTCCGGCGCATCTGTCAACATTATTCACACTGAAATATTCGAGCGCATTAAAAGCGAGAACAATCACATTAAACTAGCCAAAACAAACGCAAAAATTCGTGCATACGGAACTGATAGCCCTATAGACCTTTCTGGAGAATTTCACACAACAATTAAATCAACACACGGTCAATCTATAGACGCAACGTTTTACGTCACAACGGCAAAATCCCAATGTATTCTCGGCTGTGAATCATCTACGGCATTAGGACTAATAACATTGAACATAAACAATATTGCGCAGCACGAGGATCCAGTTATAGCGAAGTTGCTCAAGCAACACGAAAAACCTTTCAAAGGAACCGGCAATTTGAAAGGCGTTGAGGTCAAACTCGAGATCGATAAATCCATACCACCCGTAGCACAGTCGTCCAGACGAATTCCGCACAACATGAGAAAAAAAGTAAACGAGAAATTACGTGAAATGCGTGACGACGGCATCATTGAAAAAGTGGAGGGTGCAACACCATGGTTATCCCCACTCATCGCCATTCCAAAGAAAACTGGTGACGTCAGACTGGTTCTCGACATGCGCGTTCCAAACACAGCTCTAATCAGACGTAGAGTTCAGATCCCAACCGTTGACGAGATTCTACGCCAGATGGAAGGAGCTAAAGTATTTACGGAAGTCGATCTGTCCCAAGGCTATCTACAACTCACCCTCGCGGAAGAATCGAGATATATCACTGCCTTTACCACCCCCGACGAGGGCCCCCACCGTTTCAAGCGTTTGATAATGGGAGCATCACCCTCTGGCGAATACTTCCACGAGATAATCCATGAACTTATCAAGGGCATTCCTAGATGTGCAAACATCTCAGATAACATCTGGTTATGGTCCGATGACCGACAGTCCCACTATAAACAACTCGAACGGTTGTTAACCAAATTGGAGTCCAGCGGTTTAACCCTCAAACTACCCAAATGCTCGTTTTCAGTTCCAGAAATCAATGTCTTCGGACATATCGTTTCTGGAAATGGAATACAGCCAGACAAAGCCAAAATCGAAGCGGTGAACAACGCCCTACCACCAAAGTCAGCCTCGGAAGTTAGATCGTTCCTGGGTCTAACAAACTACTGCTCCAGGTATATCCCAAATTACAGCAGCATCACCTACCCACTTCGCCAGCTCACGAAGGCAGACGCAAAGTTTCGATGGAGGGACGAACACGAGAAAGCATTCATCACCCTGAAGCAAGCCCTAACGAGTGCTCCAGTTTTGGCTCATTACAGTCTCGAAGCCAAAACGCGAGTCGTAGTTGACGCATCACCATGGGCGGTCGGCGCAGTTCTCCTGCAAGAGCAACAAGATAGCTTTTATCGTCCCGTAGCGTACGGAAGGAGATCCTTGTCCGAGACAGAGCAAAAGTACGCCCAAATTGAGAAAGAATCGCTAGCGATCGTGTTTGGATGTGAACATTTCCACATGTACCTTTACGGACGAGATTTCGAACTTGAAACCGACCACCGACCCCTAGAACACATTTACAAACCCAAACCCAACAACGCGAGTAAGTCAACCCCTGCAAGAATCGAAAGGTGGAGATTGCGACTTCAAGAGTACGATTTTAAAGTCGTGTACAGACCGGGGCCCAAAAACCTAGCTGATCCTTTATCGAGACTTCCAAAACAATCTCCCACTAACACCCGAAGCAACATGGAAGCCTGCGCAGACCGATATGTCCACTACCTTTCCCAGTATCTTGCACCACGAGCCATGTCAATAAAGGAAATCCAACAGGCCTCTATCAACGATCCAGAACTGGCACAGATACGAACCTGTTTACAAACAAACCAGTTATACAAGATTCCACCACCCTACCAATCAGTCGTGGATGAACTCTGTGTCACTAACCAAAACATCCTTCTTCGTGGGAACCGAATCGTCCTTCCAGCCGACCTCCGACAGAAAGCCATATCCTTAGCTCACGAAGACCACGCAGGGATCACAAAGTGCAAACAACGCATCCGAGCAAAACTGTGGTGGCCGCAGATGGACAAGCACGTCAAAGCTCACGTCAAATGTTGTCATCCCTGTCAATTGGTAGCACAACCACCACGCCCTGAACCAATGCGTCCAACAGAGCTACCCAAAGAACCCTGGACCGAGTTAGCAATCGACATCTGTGGACCATTCCCGACTGGTGAGTACATTGTTGTTCTCACAGACTACTACTCCAGATGGCCCAAAGCCAAGACCCTCAAAACCGTTATCTCCGCTACAATTCTGAAGTGGCTCAATTCCATCTTCGCCCAACATGGCTATCCCACAGTCCTGAAGTCGGACAACGCCTCCTACTTTACCTCTACACAATTCAAAACGACCCTACAGTCCTGGGGAGTCCAGCACAAAACCGTGACCGAATACTGGCCACAGGCAAATGGTCAAGTTGAACGATTCAACGAAGTCATCAAGAAACATGTCCTCACAGCACAAGCAGAGCAAAAGGACTGTAGAGAATCACTACCAAACCTACTTCTCCACTATCGAACCACACCCCACCGAATCACTGGACAGACCCCAGCAAAACTACTCATGAAGAGGGAACTTCGAACCAAGATCCCAGCAATTTCCACGGTGGACCAACCAACAGATTGGCACGAGGAAGTGCGAAGAAAAGACGATAACGAGAAGTCCAAAGCGAAAGCATACACCGACAAGAAACGTCATGCAGCGGAACGAAAATTGATCGTAGGAGATAAAGTTCTGGTCAAACAGAAGAGAAAAAACAAGTATTCGACAAAGTTTTGCAAAGATCCGATGACAATCACGAAGATCAACGGAACACAGATCGTGTTAACAGATCTCCATGGTAAACAGCACCGACGGAACGTACTCTTCTCATGTCAAGAAATATTGGACCACATCAGAACCGAACAACGTAGAAGACGAGGATTTCGTTGCAGAATCCCAACCACCACAAAGCACCACTGAAGAAACCCCACCAGACAGCAACCCAAACATTCCCATCATCCAACCAGACCCAACCCCACTCCGCAGATCCACACGAGAGAAAACCGTCCCAGATCGCCTTAGATATTGAATAATGGACACCTAAGCTAAGAGAATCTGACATTATTAAGCACATAGATAATTTAGTTAATTTAGCAAGAACAATGGTACGAAATTCAAATTACGAACAATCAGCAATAGGAATCAAATATATATAGTTCAACCTAGCAAGTTACTAAACAGAGGAGGAATGTTGTATCCTGTACTTAATTCATTCCAGGCTTAACCTTTCACACGCACACCCATATCATATATCCTAATTGCCTGTCAATGCTTGTATATATATTTACTTAATTCTATCAATAAATTAGTCTTTGATTACAACTAGTGCGAGTAGCATATATGCTAGAGGTCTCTATAACCCAAACAAGCAAGATACAAA